TTTTCCCTTTCAACTCATGAGGAAAACCTCCTCTTTGTCTGGTCACTGTCAGTCAATAATAACTAAGTATGTTGGCCAATCAGCATCAAGCGGCCAGCTACATGACCTGCCCCTGCTCCACAGACCCCTAAGAGGTTTAGTCTCACTGGAAGTGATGTATTTTGGTGCGTTATCCAATCAGGGCTCCTCATTGTCGCTGCCGCAATAGACCGAGGCTCAAACCTCAACAGGGATTTCTCATAGAGACTGACAGGCAGCGTCCTGCTGCTCCAAGGCGGAGGAGAGATCTCGTCCCACAGCAGCAAAACCAGCTAATTAATGCACAAAATCCTCATGAAATGAGGCACATTTTAGCACATATCTAAAGCAGCTTAATGGCTATATTTATAAAGTTTAACAATGCATATTTTACCAATAATTTAAGGAAATTTACAGGGTAGGTATAGCCAAGTATTCAATGAAAAGGGCGACACTGGTGAACATGTCACATGGTTCTTGCAGTACTCAAAATAGAAAAAAAAAAATCTTCACCATTCTTTCAATGAAGATACCATGTCTGTAAATATGTGCATACGTATGTTTATCAGCGAGAGATTTAGGAAAGTTTAGCCTGACTTCTGTGATTTATGTGTTAATTCAGATGTTGATTTTCCTATTGGCACAGTTTGATTAGAGTAGATTGAGCTGTAGATTGATTCGATTTCAGCCATCCCCCCAGTGCACATCGGTCCCTGACTGGCCAGCCTTATGAAAACTGTCTGATTGTTCTTCTTTTTAAACTTTCTATCCAGTGAATTCTGTTCTGTTATCATTGCAAGCAAAGAAAATATTTTGTAAATGATAATTTGAAAAAATACAGTCCAGAAATGAAACTTTGAAAATGTTCTTAATCAAAAATGATCAAAAACCTTTTGAGAGTAATTTTGCACTTTCTCAGATAATTTTTTTTTTATTTCTTTAGATTTTTTTTTCAATTATCCATTTTTTTTCTTTTTCATTATTTCGTTTTTTCTTTTTTTCTTCAAATTTCAGATTTTCAGATTGAGTTTAACCCCTTTAGGCCCAGGCAGTTTTTTTACGTACATTTTTTTTTATTTCTCTTTGTTATTTGGGCTTGTTTGAACCCAGTTAGAATAAAAACTAAACATCATATTTCAATGTAATTCAGTTTTAGAGAAAAATTATGTCCTCATATGTGGATTCATGTTCCCAAGCTACATAAAACACAATTAAGTCAACCTTGGATAAAAGAGTGAAAAAAACTCTTTATTTCCACCTTAAAGACAGCAGTTTTTCCTGACTGCTTTCTTTAAGTATTGATAACAGATACACATATTTTTTAAATATGTTTTGATTATCAAAGAGTAAAAACAACACAAGAAACATTTGATTTTTGGCTGTTTGAACCGTTACATCTAACAGATGATATTGTTTGCCTGTAACAAAGTATACAATAAAAATCTAAAGCATTTCCAACTGTTCTATTGTATCAACCTACTACTGTGAAAATTATAACATAAATAAACAAAATGAAGAAGAAAAAATCACTTTTGGACATTCACAGTTACAGTATCGCTTATGAAACTATCCATTTCTAATGTAACAATAAGGATATGTGAAAGGCAACAATCATTGCAGGTACAACTACATACCTTTAGAAATCTCTGCCATCACCTATGTGTGAAAGGCTAAGTAATGGTTGCGATCAGTTTGCATGCACAAGAACACTTTGCAGGTCACATAACGCACTCGGGTTCTTCCAGGGCAACCTGGTTGTCTGTAGCGCATAGCGTTCTTCAGGCGAATCATCTCTGGGAGATGGGCATTGGCTCTTCTGTGGACCGAAACATGAGGCAACTCCATCACATGACGTCTGACCCCTTGACTCATTTCTTCCTCCTCTGAGGGTTCTGAAAGGTCTGCATCTGCACCGTGATGCTGGGCCAAGAAGATTTTGGCCACTTCCATACGAAACTGGAGGAACTGGATGGGTCTGGTCTTTGGTCCAGCAGATTCTGCATGATCTTTTCGGTACAGGAGCCAGCTGTTGGCTAAAGCCAGATCTATGAAGTGCATTATCATTTGTAATGTCCACTTCTTGGTACGGGTGCTCATGCAATAGTAACTTATTATTCTGTCCATCAAATCCACTCCACCCATCTTCATGTTGTACTCACGTACAATGCTTGGTCGTGAGACAATGACACATTTCAGTTCATTGTCCCAACGCTGGCAGTACACCATGAACAACAGACATCATCAGCTTGCCCAGGGATGTTGAAAAAGGATATATAGTGTTATTAAAAATAAAAACACCTAAAACAGTTTGCTCTTGTGGGCTTAAACAACTTTTTGGTCATAATAAGCTTTTGCTTTTAGAAAATTCAAACAGACTAATTTATATATTCAACTCTGAAGCATAAAAAAGTTTTTTTTCCAGACATGTCAGAAATGTAAACCCACTTATCACAGGCAGGTACATCGTCTTCATTTGGAGAGTTTAGTGCATTTTTACATTTCTTTAACAAATAACTTTTAAAAACAAAACAATGTTATTGCAGATTTTCTCTAATTTATAAGTCAAATTTATTGTTAAATCTTTCTTAGCAAGATGTATAAAAAAACATTGTCTCTTCAGCTTCTGGCTGGATTGCTTACCTTTCCTTCAGTAATGACAGACTTGTAGTAAATGAGTTGGTTATTCACACATATGGAAGTTTTAAGTAACGTTGAAACGACATATATTTGATTCGACTTTGGGCAAAGCCATCCCAGGAGCATCTTATTAGATTAGATTCGATTCAGCTTTTGTTGTTATTGCAATAAATACAGACTCCATCCAATCAGTCTTGAAGTATTTTTTGGGTAATTGTCAAGTTTCGATCTCACTTGTGTCCAAGTTTCAACCTTGCAGCTTTATGAGTGGTTAAATGACTGAATGTGGGGGGGAAGTCTGTTCCTCTGACTTGATGAGGGGTTGTACAAGTACTGACCCTTTTAACTTTCCAAGATTAAGCTGACCATGGACCAGCAGTGACAGTTACTGATATGTTACTGATATGTTACCGTAAGTCCAGCTAATCAAACAGCAAGACGGCCTCCAGGAAAAATCTTGTGTATTTACTTAATGAGGGTTATAAGTGTCATAACCAGTTGCGGCTGGACAATAGAAGGCGGCAGATCGCTGCCCCACCAGCCCACTGGCCTTGATTAAGACATAAAAAAAAAGTGAAAATCAAATTATAAAAGCAATTTTTTTTATAGTGTCCTATTTGGCAATGTGGCAATAAGAATAATTGTCTTGATGCTAAATTTTTAATGCCAATTAAAGAATTATTTAAAAAAAATATGAATTTAATGACTTAATGATTTTTAATGAGAGCTGCTCATTGTCGCAGTGGGTAGCACTGCTGCCTTGCAGCAAGAAGGTCTGGCTTCGATTCCTGGACTCTGGTCTTTCTACATGGAGTTTGCATGTTCTGCCTGAGCATGCGTGGGTTCTCTCCGGGTACTCCGGCTTCCTCCCACAGTCCAAAAACATGACTGTTAGGTTAATTGGCTTCTCTAAAGTCCCCTTAGGTGTGTGTGTTTGCGTGAATGGTTTGTCCTGTTTGTCTCTGTGTTGCCCTGCGATGGACTGGCGACCTGTCCTGGGTGTAACCCGCCTCTTGCCCGTAGACAGCTGGAGATAGGCACCAGCACCCCTCACGACCCCACTTGGGATAAGCGTGTAAGAATATGGATGGATGGATTTTTTTAATGACCCGCGGAAATCCTGTTTAATGACGAGTAAAGCGTCATGTAATTTTTCGTCGGATCAGTGAAATATTTCCGGGCCTAGGGCGCAAAAATGTTTGCCCATTGACTCTGGTTAAAAGTTGTACATGAGCAGTAGCTCCTCTGCAATACAGAAGTATAGGAGAGCTCAGGGCGCAGCTAAGCAGCGACCTAAGGAGACAGGAAGTGGCACGCTAATTATCTAAAAGATATTTTTAGATATCTTTTTAGAAAAGTTCATATAATGTTTCCATCTTTATACAGCTTAATTAAATAGTCTGATATTACTTTAATTCGACTAATTAAGCAATATGTTTCAGTGCATTAGTCACATTTTGATCCAAAAGGTAAAATGTGAAACTTTAAAATAGATTATATTAAAAATGATTGTGCTGTGAGTAAAATCTATGGAATTTTCTTTTATTATATTTATTGTAGCTACTTGAAAACAGGTCTGGCTGAAGGAGATGCTGTGAGACGAACACATCAACAAAGATACTTCCTGTGTTTGTTTTTGTACTGTATAAACAAATCATTTTTACTCCCAACTCCACACATATTGATGCTTGGTCAGGTCCCCTGCGTGACAGATACTGATGCAAAGCTGATGCATGGTGTTCATGACAGGCTGTAGCAGGAACTTCCCAAAATGTTTCCAAAAGTAATAAAAACATAGTACAAACTTATCCCTTACCCTAACTACTAAATCTAAAGAAATACTAGTATACATGTTACTGTACACTTATAAAGCTACCAAAGTAACTTTGTAGGCTAAACTTCAATTAGTTTTTTTCTTTGTTGGGAGTCCCCTGCGTGTCAAATACTGTATTTGACGCATGGGGACTTTGGCTGAGCATCAATCTGTGACAAGTTGTCAGTGAGAATATGTTGATTAAACAGTTATTGGTTGATCCAAACATTTATACAGTAAAATATCTCTATCAACTCAGTTCTTTTTGTGTAAAGGACATCCACTGTTTTTGTTAGCTTATCAGAAAAGTGGTACTGACTGCTATGTTCATCTTTATCTTATCTTATCTTTATCACTTGGGCCGCCCCCCCAAACACCTGGTGATGCCTCTGTTGGTCGGGTCTGTTAGTTGGTCTAGTAGTGTGATTGTTTGTTTACAGGATAAATCACATCTTGAAGGCATCACATATTGATCAATAAAATGTTACAAGAAATAAAAGACAAAACAGTTCTGTTCCAATTTAAACACATTTATTGAAATCATTTTAAGCTGCTGATTGTTGGTACCTTTTCTAAAACCCTTTCTGTAGAAGATAAATCTTTTACAAGCGGCCGTTAAGAAAAATTAGCCTTTTTACAACATAATCTTTGGCAATCCAGTCTAGTTCTTTGAGGCCAAAGTTAATGACTGCAGTATTGTTCCCTGCTTCTACAAGAAAATAAACAGCAGTACACAGAAACAACAAATTGAAGGTCAGCCGGTTTACTCTGATAGATAAATGTGGCTTCCCTGAGTTAAGAACACTTCAAGGTCAAAGAAACAAACAAAAAAAGACTTATTTGATTTAAGCATTACTCCAATCAGACTGATAGCTTCCTCCTTATCTCTCCAGGGGTTTTACAACTGCTCCGTTGTCAGGAAGGTGCCTGGAAGGCACAGAGTTAACACCGTTTCACATCAGCTCACGTCTCCCAATTGTGCAAATATTGAATAATCGTGTTTGTGAGACCCTCACCTGTTCAGAAAATGCCCTGTTCCTTTCGCCGGTCGATATCTCTCTTCAGCTGGCAGGTGGCGCAGACAGAGCAACACATGTACGTGCAGTAATCCTTGAGCAATGATCCCTAGAAGCACAAACAGTTACTCTGAGATGCTGCAGCACAGACATGAAGCACCTTTTACACAGTTTAGACCTACACTTCCTGGTAGAAAAACAATGATTTTTTTTTTTTTTTGACGTACTGATAAATTAACTGGAGCTGTAAAATCTTCAGATAAGCGCAGAAAAACAAACTACATAAAACATTTTACAAACATCAGCTGAAAAAGAAAAAAACGTTCTTGGTATTTTGTAGAATTTTGGGGTTTTAATTTGTTTTATCCATTGAAATATTTCTATGCATTGCCATTATTATTATTTTTTTTTATAATAATGAAATGATTGATTACAATATAAAAACATATATGTATATATCAGGAAATAGAGATGTCACTTCAGCTATTTTCTGAGATATCAAATCATATCTACTTTTTCCTATTCTTAAAAACTGTCATTTTAATGTTGGAGTATCGTGAGAAAAGAAAACACTAAGCAAATCAAGCGGTTCCTATGGAGATTCCCACCTTTTCTAGAGCTCAGATAAGCCTTTGATATGACTATGCTTATCAGCTCTCAAAAGATATGATAGGTATATAAAAATGAATATATTTGAATAAAGAAAATAGATAAATTACGCAGAAAAGCTTCCTTTCCTTGGATGAAATAAATCAGGGGTATGCAGCCCTTTTAATTTAAAAAGCCAATTTTTAAAACAGCGCCTATAACAAAAGTTTTTCAAGAACCATATTATAGTTTTGTTTTTGGTTTTTTTATTGGAAGCCAAGGATATCTAATTAAGATTTTCATTTTTTTATGTTCAGAATCTATTTATTTATTTTGAGAAAAAAAAGGACATTGCATATTACTGAACATTAGACAATTTAAATGTGCCAGATTAAAGCATTAGGCTAACTTCCATCTGCAGTCCTCCTGGCAGGTTGATGTCACAACAAATAAGGTATTTACAACACACACCAAAGATGGACAGATACAGACTATTTAAGGTACCCCATAGTACAGACACACAGGAACTAAATGACTGTAAGGACAAAAAAAACTCCATCAATTGTATTGCACTGCTCTTACTAATATTGCATTGATCCCAGTGGTATTGCACGTATTAATATTGCACAGACAGTTATACTTATAATCAATATTGCACATGGATCTAGAATGAAATAGATGGTTTAGCCTTCATAAAAATAAATAAAACATTATATAAGTATAAAAATATAACAATGACAAATCATATTTAGGCCAGACGTAGCTAAATCTAAAAACCCTTCAATTCCTGTAAGAAGCTTTGTACCAATGGGGCCGTGTTGCGGTACAAAGATATTGCATCAAAACTCACAGAATTATCCTTTTCTAATCTGTTTTTTTTTTTTTTGAGACATCACTTGCAGCCCACTAAAGAGGAACAATAAAAAAAAAAATACAAACTCTAATATGAAAACAGTGCTTTCAGTTTGGGAGGGAAATAGCAATTTTAAATGCACCAATACATTAAAAGTTTTATTAAAGTGACACCGGTCACTGTGTGGCATCAAGCCACTAAGATAACCATAATTTCCTGTATCATGTGCCTTATCCTGTACTCCATCTCTACCATTCATCCCTCTGATTTATATGGTAAGCCGGAGCAGTGTGAGAATCACACCTATGTCATAAAATACACCCATCCCAGCCTTAGCTGCTCCGACAATAAGCTGTTTTAGTATACTGTTGGATGGGTGTAAAAACGGCCTCTTTGTTCTTTTCTTATCAGAATTTTTTTATTACATCAAGTCAGGATTCTGATAAAGATTGAATTCATTTTCTAACAAGTGCTGGAATCAAATTAGTAATAAAACTTTTATTGTAAATTTGATTAACTTTCTAAGGATCTCCTTATTGCTCTCGAGCTGGTGTTTCAGGCGGAATTATGGCCTGGAAGAGGAAATTATTTATACTCACACTGTGGGGAGCATCAAGTAAAAATATTGCTATCATTTATTTTTTGTTTTAAAATTGCATTCAATAAAATTGAATAAAGACATCAGACTTTAATAGGATTTTTCATCCCTAATAATAAAAAACTTTTATATGAAAACTGCATTGTGTGATTACTCATGTTGTCTTTGATTGCCAGTAAAGTTTGCTTTCATGCTCTGAAAATGTGACGAATATATGTAAAAAAAAAAAAAAAAGAAAAGCAATAAATATGTTTATATATAAAGCAATAAATTATAAAGGGGTCACAATTTGCTTTGAGAACTTACTTTGATGTTGTATCTTGTTCTGTAGACGCTGCGGATGGTCCAGACTGTACCGCAGAGGCAGCACTCATCCATGTCGCTGGCAATGGAGCAGCCAAGACAGCAGTGGCAGAAAAATCCAAAGCAGCCTTTGGAACAAAGAGAAGACGTGAATTAATGGGACATTTAGAAACTGAAATGGCATTTTAGCTCAAACTTTAAGAGTTTCATCATGACCAAATAAAAATCCAGAACTAAATCAAAGTAAGAAATGTGACAGGAGTAAAAACAAAAAATTCATAAATACTGATTTCTGAGGCTTAACACAAATAAATGGCACACTACACAGATTTATTTCATAAATGACGTGGAAACTAAGGGTATTTTTTCCTTCCACTAAGTATTTTTGGTTATCTAAAATCTCTATTAAGAAACAGAAAATGTTATGAGATATTCACATTTTAAAAAAAAGTTACTAACAGGTTCCAAGATCATCGCAGACATCACACAGGCCGGTCTGGAATTCAGAAGCATCATATTTGCCTGGTTGTCTTGTCACAGCCATTACGAAAAATTTTCTCTGGGGGATGAAGAAAATCTTTATCACATCTATCTATAGGCGACTGTAAAGCAAATCTCTCCTCTTAACATCAAACAATGTGGAAGTCTGGACAAATTATCTACAATGGGTTTCCAGTCCAGCTGTTGTTAGCAGAAAAAATCTTACCAGATGGAGATCTGAAAGACGGCGATACTGCTGAATGGGTCTCCTGAAACAACACTGATATGGCAGGAGGCAGAAGTGGACTTTTAAGAAATTAAACGTCATCACCAAGGTTGTAAATATACCGTTGACCTATTATGACGAGGTTTACCATAAACAGTTTGTTAAACACACCTATAAATTTTCCCATAGGTTAAGGGGTATGTAGGCTGAAGGTGTGTTTTTTGGTCTCTAGCAATAAATCCCACTTTATTGGTCTGAAGCAAAAAAATCTGGTTGTAACCTTTTTTTTTCTCCATTTTAATCTTTTAGGGAAACATTTACAGCTCATGTGACGTTTCACGTGAATAGCTACAACTTGAAATAAAATAATAAAAATAAAATTTGGAAATCCTCCCGATCATACTAATGTTAACACGGATGTACTGTGACGTATCAAATGCACTGGAAAAATCAACATGGTCCTCTCTGTGCTGTCTGCCTTGTCTAAAGCAATGGTCCTGTTGCAGCAGGTGTACAGAGACACAGTGATTGAGGACAGTTGGCTGAGTACCAGAACAAGGCACACCCGGAAAAAAGTAGTTAAAAAAAAATTCAAAAGATGATATAATTTATGTCCAAACGTCTACATTTGGTTGAAAAGTAACAGGTGAAAGCCGTAATTTTTAGATTGTTGAAAGACGTTGAAAAGTTGGCTTGCAATGTCTTTTCAACGTCCATTATTGAACTATTGTGAGAGAAAATCAGACCGACCAAACACAGCTTAATTTTAAACAAGACTATGACGGAACGACCAGATTTAGCCTAAAAATCTAAATGACGTCTGGTGTTTGGGGGGTCTACATCAATGGAACCTTCTCTTTGGTCAGACTACGGTATAAAAAGTGCTGTTTCTCTTCCGTTAGTTTTTTTTTCTTTAGTAGTTCGTTCAGATCCAGGGTGATCCTGGGCTTATCGTTTGCAGAAGCAAAACAATAGCTTTACTCTGCCACATAATGAGTTTCCTAGAGAGACTCCTGTGTGGCTAGATTAAAAGATTTGTAGGGTAGTCAGCTTTGACAGAAATTTTTACCGCCACCAGGATAATGTAACTGCAGATTTTTTTCATAATAGTCTTATTCTTTTAAAAATGTGATCATAGATTTTTAAACTATCCAATTTCTATTCCAAGTAATTTATCAGGGTTGTGGCGGGCTGGCACCTATATCCAGCAGTCTTGGAAAAAAGGTGCCGTACACCCTGGACAGACCAACAGGCTGTACAAACACAAAACCAACAACCATGAGTGCAAAAACTGACACCTAAGGGAAGATTAGAGACACCAGCCAGCCTAACAGTCATGCTTTTTAACTGCAGGTGATAGAAGCTGGAGGGAATTGGAGCATGCACAGGGAGAACATGCAAACTCCATGCAGCCCAACTTCCAACTGTTTAAGGGTAAAGATTTGGTTTCTTAAATATAGATATTGTTTGGTTTCAGAAGCCAACAATCATTCACCAGAAACAAAATCAGCTTAAGGCCAAGTCTAGCAAAGACCAAGAACCCGTTGACTGAGTTGAAGAAGAGAAAGTATCAATAGCCATGCCACTGTAAAAAATATGTTTTTTCTTACTAATGTTTGGAAATGTGTAGCATCTGAAATAAAATTGTATTTTGGATTACCAGAGTTACATTTACAGACTTGGAAAAATGTGTTGTTGGACTGCTCTTTAGCACAGGTGATTAATGTAAGATAGCAAATAATGACTGAAAGCATGGACTACAGAGCTTATCTTGTGTGAGTTTCCTAATAGTTGGGAAACAGCCATTAGCTGTAGTTTTATGAATTGTACTTACAGAAGGACAGATTAGATGGTTACAATTAACCTTTTGCACTGGGCTGTGGCCAAGTTCCAGATAAAAGTGGGTAAATTCTAAGAAGTGATTCTAAGAAAAAGCAAAACACTTATTGTTTTGCTTTTTCTCTTTTTCCGTCTCTAAGAACTCCCACATACTTCAGACGATTTCAACAATTTTGGTATCAAAACGTTCTTCTGGATCATTCTGCTATGACTTTTGATAATTTCAGCTATAATAATTTTTGAAATATTCTTTATGCAGTTTTTAGCTTTATGTAGTTTTTAGCTTTTTATGATATATTTTTTGGCCCTATAGAAATGAATGGGATTCTGCCAAAATTCCACTAAAATGTTAGCTACCTTGCCCTTTAAGTACTTCTGTATACTTTCAGGTAGAAATGCCATTTAAATTTTTAAACGTTTCCAACCCCTCATTGATATGGGATTTACAGTTTTCCAACAGTTTGGACCAGACCACCAAGAAGTCCAAACTCCTTCAATAGAAATCCAATGGGTGATTTTTCAAAAATCACAGATGAAAATCCAAACCGACACAAATTTTCGTTTTGTTTTATCTTTTATGGTGTGAGGGACCGAGCCAAAAAAACAGAGAAGCACAGGGAAGTCTTGATGAAAAAATGGTAACAAAAAAAAACTTTATTTTGCAAAAAATAAAGTTCAAAAGTTCAAACACTGGGCCCATCAAGGAAAACAAATGACAAAAACCAGCATAATCCAAACCTGACACAGGAAAAGACCTACCTGACACACAAGGGAAACGTATATATATATACACACACTGGTTGATCAGACCATTTTTAAACAAGAGGGAAACATAAACTACATTTTCCTAAACAAAACTACAGCAAAAGACAAAACTAATCAACATCATACTTAATTAGCAACCTATGAAGAAGATGACTTAAATATTAAATTTTCCAAGTGTTACTATAGAAAACAAAACCAAATACAGAAACCTAAACCCTTTCTACACCCCTTCTAAATGCAAGTGGAAGAGTCCAATTAGGCCTCCATGTCAATGAGGAGATACTTTTACAGCTGGAGTCTCCTTCCCTTTACTGGCTTTACTCATGACAGCCTCCCAGGAACTGGCAACTCAAAGGAAAAATATATTAATGTACAGAAAACCAAACAGCAAGAAATGACAAAACGAGTCAACTAAATGTGTGCACCCAAATAGTTAACATATGTCAAGTCAAAGTAGAAAAAAAGGAAATCCAGTACAATAAAATAGAAGATTTAATGAAAGAATTACCAGACCATTTGTGTGGTTGTACATGCAGCCATCACATATGGTTTAGCTGTTTAGCTGACTTGTTTGGGCACATGAAAACATTGATTCTGAGTAAAAGCCTCAGACTGAAATCTTTCCAAAGAAACCACATTTCTACATCATCACAGTGGCCAAATGGTTTTTGCTAGCGACATGAAAGTTGGCATACTTGTTCATCAAAGCCTGTTGATTCTTAGGGTCTAATTTTTTTTTCAGTATCTATTATGGTTTTTGATTTATTAAACATAGTTCCACACAAACTTTTATTAACTTTTCAAATGTTGCCAATTTCCCAATTTTTTCACAGATTGCTGTGTCTTTTCAAGAACATTTTAATCAAAAACAGCTCTAAAGCTTCATTCTCAAATCCGTCATGAACGGTGCAAGAATAACATGGATACAACTTATGCCAGAGTTATAGGCATTTGTTTGGCAAGCTATTTATGTACAAACATGAAATTTGGTATGGAACATCCTCAGACCCTTCTAGCAGTCATATAGAAATTTTACTATGTAGCTGGATTGTATCAATTATACTATTATTCTTATGGTTTTCTCTCCTGACCTCTCAGACTATACACGCACATTAGCTAATTGTTATGGAAGGTGTTGCATTTCTAAATTTAAGAGTTTGTTTTATTCCAAATTTATAATCAGCTATGCTTCTCTCTGATTCTTCTATTTTCAGGAAGACCATTAAGCTTTTCTTTATGCTCATTCCTAACACTTTACCAAAGTTTTTCCTTCAAGTTTAGCTTACTTCTGGAATAATTTTCTGTTCATATTTTACATTACTTAAACTTTTAAACATTTTAATCAAGCTTCTTATGTAGCACAATGCTGCTCATTCAATACCACATTCTTTAACATTTTAGTCTCTATTTTTAAAGGCGTAGCGAAGCGGCTGTTCTAACCGTTGCGTTTCCGAATTCTCCCGAGTGGTGCACGACTTCACACGAGTGACTAAAGTGAATGTGATTGGTCGTTTATCAAGAGGGCGGGATTGTTGTCGTGGAAGGTTCGCAAGCAAGTTTGATTGTGGTTGGTTTCTTGGAAGCATCTTGCTAACCAGTTAGCAACTTAGTGCTAGTAGGTTCCCAATGGGAAAATACATTTAGACCAAGTAGCACTAAATTGGTGACGTGGAAACAACACTGTCAAGGAACGCTATGGACAGCGGAAACATGCAAGAGGAGAAGAGATTTGTGTCGGAGGTCACACATGAGACTCGTCCGTCATACATTTTTTATTTAGAGGAGGAAAGCGGGGACGAAGATGTTGTGGAAGAGGACACCAGGGCGGCAGAAGCTTGGTTTGGTGTAGAAGGCTTACAGTTGTTTCGTATATTAGCTGCGACATATAAATCAAGATGCTATGACCGAAAAAAACTGATTGACAGATGACCATTGATATATGATTGGCCAAATTTAGGCGTTCAGGCTGACGTTTAATTAACTGGCCTGCATAAGATAACGAAAACAAAAACACAGATTTTAAGACAGGATTTTTTTATTAAATAGAAATGTTCTAAATTTTGGGACAATATCATCTGATAAAGAGTACATTTATATACATGTTTAAGCCAGACTGATTAGACATTTAAATTGTCCAACCAAAAAAGATTCAAGTTATTCTAATTTCTTTTCTGATTCTGCTCATTTAATACGTTTCAGTCTATAGTTTCAACTTTGGCTTAATTCTGCTGTCTTTCTGCACAAGCATTACCTTTTTGTTTGCTTAGACTTCATAACATTCCCGACATGTTTCTGCTGTTAGCTTCAGCTTGCTTCTGCTATTTTTAAACAAACAAATTAAGCATTTATATTTTCTGCACTTTCATATCATTTCAACAGTTTCTGCCGTTTTCAGCTTACAGTTTAGGGTACAGCTTTCTCACGGCTGTTTTGCAGCAACAGCAGT